ATGAAGCTGGAGTGGCTCCACAAGGCCCCTGGGTGGCCAGAGGGGAGGCTGCTCTCACGTGTCAATCACTGTCACCAGAAGTGCCTGAGCCACAGGGAGTAAGACACTTTTTGGCCAGGCAGAGCCTTGGAGCTGTCGGCAGCAGCTGCCGCACATCTCCCTGTGTGTGCTACACGCCTGCCTCAGAACGTGGCCCGGCTGTGCATCTGTCTCCTGTCAGGCACACAGCAGGAGAACTGGAGTCTGTGCACCAGCACGAACATGCTTACACATGCCTGTGGCCATCCAGGGACCCTGCCTACCTCACACAGCCCATGCTGGGCAAGATGCCTCTTTAGATAGCCGTCAGGATCCACGCAGGTTCACCAGGAAGTCAGGCTGCAGACCCAGCCCTGTCCCTGGTGATGACAGGAGAATGAATCTTATGTCAGTAAGTGGCTTTGTCTCCTCTCAGTGCCGAGGGTGAACTGTGTGTCTGTGGACAGCTGGGTGGAGGCGTTGGCCTAGGATAGCATAGGAGGAAGAACGTTCAGAGCCCCAATGACTCAAACCCCAGATGAAGTGACAGACCCCATCCATCCATCACTTACAGTTCTTATAATGGTGTCGTACTGTTTCCTCTAGTACTTACCCCGACCTCGCCTGCCACTCATGCTGCTGTGTTCCTCAGCCAGACCATGCTCTATGAACAAAGTTTCATGAGGGACAGCTTCCCCCTCCCTCTGCTTGCCATTATCTAGAGGGATATATGTTCCTGTTTTGTCACAGTTGGACTCCTGCAGAGTGCGCAGGGTGACTGGCAGCTGGTATAGTAGAGCCAAAGATACGTTTCTACCCTCAGCCCACTCGGCCAGCTGCCTGTTTCCATTACCTCCTCCAGGGATTCCTCCCTGAGCCCTCATTGACCTCTCTACCCTTTGTGCTCCAGCTGTGACAGACTGGTTTTTCCTATATGGAAATGACTGGTGTCAGTGACTGACTGCTCAGCCCACAGCCTCTGGGAACAGTTGCACATCTCACGCCTGTCTGTCTGCATCACCTAGCGCAGGCACCTTTGTGTGGGAGGTGACTGGTGAGTGCTGATCATAGGAGGCTCTGGGGTGGGGGAGGGGGACTGGAATGGCCAGGCTGCAGTGATGAAATAGAGAAAGGGCTTTGTAAACATGAGCTCTGAGACTGATGCTGTGACGCTCACTCCCTGTCTCCTCCCTGGACAAGCCAAAATGGTCTGAATTAGAGATGTGGTAGAACTCTGTCTCTGTCTGTCTTCCTGTTTCTATCCCTCCTTCCAGTAAGATAATCTGTCTTCCTTCTATCTGATGACTATCCAGCTATACAGAAGACATGCCTGCATGCCTGCCTACCTTCTTCCTTCTAGTATTTGCTGAGCACCTTGCTGCAGAGTTAGGACCAATCAGACAAGATCCTGGTGCATCCCAGTCCCAAAGCTCCATGTCCCCTGATGTCCTCTGTCTTCCCTTGGGAGGTCTGGAGAACTGGAGGACAGGATGGCTCGGTGGGTTGGGTTGGGTACAGACAGTGCCTGGCTGAGCCACTCCTGAGCTGAACAGCTACTTTATTTCAGTTCAGCAAAAATCACAGATAACGCTGAGGAGGACAAAGATGTGAGTCTAGTTTGAGGGGGAAACTTGCTCAGAAGGATGGTCCAACCTCATTTGTGCAGTCAAGGCCAGAATGAGCAGAAGCAGGGAAGCGTTGCCCGGCTTCCTGCCTTTTCTCTCATGCCTCCCTTGCTCTTTAGGCATTCTCTGCTCTGTTTCCTGCTGCTCTTGAGCCATAGGAAACTTTGCTCCCCTGCCCTCTGGGCCCTTTGTCTGGGTAGCATGTATGTTGAAGGTGGTTTCTGAGTAGAGAAGTATAGGACATCGAGGACAAAGCTCCCAGCAGGCCTTCCTGAAGCTGCTGGACCAATCAGTGCTGCAGAGCCCACTGGATCCAGGGCCAGAGGCCAAGCAAGGATGTTATAATAAATGATCAAGGGATCTACTGGTGGTGAAACAGAGCCCACAGTTCTCTTCCTGTCTCCGAGGGCTGGTCCAGGGCTTCCCAAACCCAACTCATGGTTACATTCCACAAAGAGACACTCGCAGAGCTTCCAGGGTCCTCCAGGCATATTGGCCCAGGGAGTCTGGACTGTGGGCGTCCTTGTTGGATCCATGGCCTCTGTTAGCATCCCCTTTCAGGGCTCACCAGGACTGTCGATTCTACCTGATGGATGAGAATGAAGGGGAGCCCTCCCACGAGGAGCAGCTGAGGCCGCACTGCAGGATCTGAGAGGAGCAAGAGCTGAGGCCCCTGACGGGTGCTCACTATGAGGCTAGAGATCCTGGTTCCTTTCACCCACCCCATCAGCACAGGCAGGGCAGAGTCTGCAGCGGCGCCAAGCAGGCACTTCACCATGGTGGCCCATGTTGATGGAAGAAGTGCAAATACTGGGGTAGGGACAAAGATGCCACCACTGCCCTTGAAATGTGCCTCCCCAGCAGACAGCAAGGTCAATCCTGTTCATGAGGAGGAAGGAATAAGAGCATAGGATCGGAAGTCATAACTATCCTACTCCCAGCTCCAAAATGTCCAGCCTGCTGTTTGGCCTCCACGAGACACTCGACTCCTCTGAACCACTGCTTCCCGTCTGGCACATGAGGCCACCCTGACTGATGTCTAGTGGATGGCCTTCCACATAGGTACCTTCCTGACTTCCACAGAATCTCTGCCCTCAGCTATGGCTACAAGCTAGGCTGGTCCGTCAGTTAGGGTTTCTCTTGCTGTGATGAGACCCCATAAACAACATGAAAATGTGGGGAGGAAAGGATTTATTTCATCTTACAACCTGTGGTGCAGCCATCATCCGGGGAACTTAAGACAGGAACCTGGAGGCAGGAGCTCAAGTGGAGGCCATAGAGGAGTCCTCCTGCCAGGCTTACAGGCTTGCTCTCTGAAGCTTGCTTATCCTGCCTTCTCATACAACCTGGGACCACCTGCCCTGTGGTGGTACCCTCCCACAGAGGGCTGGGCCCTCTCCCACATCAGCCTTCAATTAAGAAAATGCCCTACAGATTTGCCTACTCACCAACCAGATGGCGGTATTTTCTCAATTAATATGCCTTCTCAATTAATATGGCACACACCTATAATCCTAGCACTCGGGAAGCAGAAGCAGGTGGATCTCTGAGTTCAAGGCCAGCCTGGTCTACAGAGTGAGTTCCAGGACAGAGAGGGCTACACAGATAAACCCTGTCTTGAAAAAGCAAAACAAACAAACAAACGAAAAACAAAATAGATTCCTTCTTCCCAAATGACCCTACTTTGTGTCCAGTTGACATAAAAACTAGCCAGCACATTCATCTGCCTCCAAACCGTGGGAATAGACACTGGCCTTGCTGTACCCAGGGACCTGCTATTTTTATCTGCCACTGGACGGTCTGTGTAAGTTTTTGGCAACCATCAGCCTCTGTGCACTTTGCCACAGTGTTGCCAACATGAACTCAAAGAGATGACCTCAATCCAGTGGAACTGGCTGCCAGGCATTCAGGCAAAAGCAATCCTGGTTTCCAGTAAAAAAAAAAAAAAAAGGGGGGGGGCGATCTTAAAATGTCTAATGTGGTGGCAGCCCCTAGGCGTGAGGTCAGCTTATTAAAATAAAACCAGGTTTGTGATCTGGAGGCAGTGTCCAGTCACAAAGGGAGCTCAGATCATGTGATATGCCTACATAAGGGTGCCTGCCCACCTGTACCAAACAGTAAAACTGTGGCACACCCCAGAAGCCCCCCCCCCCCCCCCAGTTTGTTTCTGCAAGCATCCCAGGGCAAGAGCTCATCGGTCAGTGAGCAGGTGTGGCAGAGCCAAGCTGGGCCGAATCCAGAGGAACTTCACAAAGGAGTAGGCTGCCCCGGGGTCCCACAGCTGTCGAGAAGAGTGCATGTCCACTGCTGACAGAAGACATGAGGTGAAACAGAGGCTTAGGCTATGTGATGGTTAAGATTGTCAGCTTGATGGAATCTAGAATTAGCCAGAAGACAAGCCTGTGGGCATATCAGGAAGGGTTTTCTAGATTGGATTGAGTTGGAACCTCCCTACCCCCGCCCCCCAAATACGGGTAGCACCATTGCATGATCCTGTTTCCTGGGCTTCATAAAAGAGATAAGCAAGTGGAGCACATTTCTCTCTCTTGGCTTCATGACAGTGGCTGCAGTGTGACCAGCTGCCTTGTACCCCTGTCGCCATGATCCCCCCCCAATGGTGGGCTCTACCCTCAAACCATGAACCCAAATAATCCCTGCCTTCTTCGGGTCGTTTTTGTTTTTGTTGTTATTGTTAAGTATTTTGTCACAGAGAAAAGAAAAGTCACTAATAGAGGCTTCTTCCTGCTCTCCTGTACCCTGTCACTGAAGTTTGAGCCCCAGGTCACGTCTACCCCATGTCCAAGCTGTGGAGTGCAGCTTTCTGGGCCCGAGACCCAGGAGATCTCTGTTAGGCACTCTGACCTTTAGAAGAAGAGCATCTTGTCAGGACATGTGGAGGCACCCGAGTGGACCTCCCGGGTTAGGAGCTATCTGGCCGTCACTGTCTAGTTCAGGTAGTCTCTGGCTTCTCCCTGCTTCTCCCTGCCCTTCCCGCTGCCCATCACACCTGAGCACGGTATGTGACTCCTTCAGTTGCAGGCATCTCTCCACTCTATTGTCAGATTGTAACAAAGCTCAGCACTGCCTCCTCCCATCTCCCTCCTCACCCCTGTTTGACTCCCTTAGGCCAGGAGACCTGTCAGATGGAGATTTGAGGACCACTGAGGTTGCTTCACCTGCCAAGATTGCTCTGGTTGAGTTGTCCCCGGGCCTTTCTGTGGTCCTCTCCTGAGCTGCTTCTATGGCCGTTGGCATCTAGAAGGCCCCAGCTGAGCTGGGGACCTGGGATGACCAGTAGGCCACCTGTGCACACCTGTACACACACTTGAGAGTTCCTACCTTGTGTTTTATCTCCAGCTCTAAGAAGCCCAAGAAACTCCCGGAAGTGGCCACGAGGCCCAAGCCTTCACCTCGGCTCACCATCTTTGATGAGGAGGTAGACCCTGACGAAGGGCTCTTCAGCCCAGACAAGAAGGTATCCTCCCAGAGACCTCTGGAGACCACACAGGACTGTGAGTACTGGTGTCATCCCTGGTGTAAGCACGGAGCTTGGTGGCTGGCTGTCAGTGTCCCTGAGCAAGACGGTCTCATCCTTGTCCTGTTTAGATGGAATACAGATTAGGTATGTAGAGATTTCCTGCTGCTGTCCCTCACACCTGCTGTTCCCACAGGCTAGAACATTTGGGGATTGTACGCTCTAAATGTCCTATAAAGGAAGAGAATGACCGTTTGCTTAGTTGCTTAGAGACCGAGTTCCTTAATTACATCTGTGGCCACATGGGCCCTGGAGCTCCGTGGAATTGTTAATGGAAAGCGGATGCTGGCCTACCTTGGGCATGCATGCGGCTCTGTATAGTTTTTCACATAGACTCTACTGCATGGCATGGTGCAGGGTTCAGAGGGATGCCCAGCAGCTCTGGGATGTCCCCATAGGTCTCTGACCTTTCCTATGCCTGCCCAGGTCCTCCACCCAGGGAGAGAACTTATTGATTCATCCTCTGCTTGGTAAGCATCCAGCAAGGGAAGGTCCAGCTCAGATCTCCAGCCTTAGAATCTCAGAGCCCATGGGGAGATAAAGATAGATTGAGTCACCTGAGTCTAGCACGAGTCTCTTTGGCACAGCACGAGTCTCTTTCAGAGCTGAGCCCAAACGTGGGTTCCCCTAGGACAGCGGGCATCCTGGGAGGGAGTACAATTGCAGATCCCCAAAGGCCAAGGGTCCTAGCCAGCTCCACTGGGAAAAGATGCTACAAGTAGAGCTAGGATTGATACTCCCAAAGGGACAGCCATGAGAGGTTCATGAGAGGTTGGGAAGGCTTGGACTTACTAAAGTGGGCCCCTATGGGCAATTCGTGTCTGTTGCCCCTGCTCCTCATTCATGACCTTGGCAAGATCTGTGGCTGGTGGGTGCCTTGCAGTACTGGCTCATTAGTGCCTGTGGGCAAGTTCATGGGTCCAATCCTGTACAATATCCTGAGAAACCACTACCCCCAGCAGTGAGAAGCCCTAGGGACTGGAACAGAACTGGGGCACGGTGAACAGGCAGCTCAGAGACTTACAGAACTTCTGTGCTTTTGTCCATCCTTCTGCACTGTGGGCTCCCGCCACTCTGCTCGCCTTGCCTGCCCACTGGGGTATAATGGGAGGCTTAGCAGGACTGCTGTCTGGCATGAGGGCAAACCAGCACTTCCTTTACCATCTGCTACTTCCCACAGCCCTGAAGCTGTTTGATGACCCTGACCTTGGTGGGGCTGTCTCCCTGGGTGACCCTTTATTGCTGCCAGCTGCCCATGAAAGTGGAGGGCCCGCATCCAGCCCAGAACACGGGGATGCTTCCAAGAAGCTGTTCAGGTACTGTTGTCTCCAGGGAGGCTTCATTAGCTCTCGCCCGAGAGCAAGACTGTTTTACCAGCTTCAGCCCATGAGAGAGGAGGGACCCAGGCCTGGCTGAGACCTGCTGCCATGAGTGGCTAAAAGTGAGTGAGAGTTTGCTCCGGGAAGGCTGTCAGCAACCAGGGCAGCCCCTCTGGTTCCACAGAGTACTACAATTGTGTTCTTTTCACACGTCTATTTTAATAGTGTCTTTAAAGGAGTAACTAACTTATATAATTCACGAGCAAGTATAATTGGCATGAGTGGGTGTTTGGGAACAAATAAAACTGACCCTTCATATACGATGACATGTTCAGAGAGAACAAAGCACAAATGTACTACAGAACAATGGCCAGGCCACCAAGAGGGTCCTCTCGGAGGAAGGGAAAGACATGACTAATCTGTTACATGAAGGTTGATGTTGTGTGTGTATGGGGGGGTGGCTATTTCCCTAGAGCTTGCTGTGTGTCCAGTGTTGTAAGAGATTCGTTTCACCACAGGTAATCCTATTTACCCTTCACACAGCCCCTAAGATGGGTGCCATTCTCTGCAATTACAGGAAATAGTATAGGAAAGATCACTTGCCCAAGGCCACCGCTCCTTTTAGCCTCTGCTGCCACCTCTGCTCCAGTGGAAGCCCTGAGCCCTTGGAGAAGAGGCTGGGAGGCCTACCTGCTTTCCTGCCTCACCCTGTCGGGTTCTCCCTGACTTCTTGGGCAGCAGCCTGCTTCCCGGTTGCTTCCGTTACAGCGTCTCTACCTCCCTGTCCACAGCCCCCAGGATGCAGAGTGTGTTTGGTGGTGTGCATGAAGCGGAGCTGCCTCACTCCAGGAATACTTCATATGGCACAGAGGCCTACAGTCCCTGCAGGCTGTCATCCGCACCCCTCGTTAGCAGCCCCAGGCTATTACACAGCCCTCTAAGTGCCCGCCAAGCCTGAGTCACCTCGATGGTGTCTTGTATTTACATCTCCCAGAGGCCCCTGGCATCTGTTCACTTTCTCTTCATGTGTCCTCGCTCCTGACATCTTGCTGGCTGAGAGGAGCCAGGATGTTTGTTGTTCCATTAGGGAGGAAACTGAGGCACAGCGAAGTCTGACAGAGGGTGTATGCTCATGGGACAGATGTCATGGGGCCTCTCCTGCATCCCATATTATAAACCCTTTCCTTTGCATCCCACATTCCGAGGAACGCTGTTCTGTGGGTGTGTCAAGGCAATTTTCACAGGATTCCCTGGCCAGCTGACACCAGCTTTAAGCAGGCTTGTCATGCACAAGCAAACACTGCCATGCAGCATTTCATGGCTTTATTGGTCCCCGGGACCCTTCCTTTTTCATTGTGCCTCCCTATCTTGCACAGCCCCTGGGAATCACGGCTTAAAGAATGTGGGCTTTGTGTCCCTGCCTCCATTAGCAGGCATCTGGCGATGAAGAACTGCCTTCTTGAGAGCAGGAGCCAGAAAGTATTATTCTTTGTGCCTACCTTGTTCCTGTTCAGGCCGTAATTGGACTTCCTCTCGGTAGCAGCCTTTTACCTCACCTCTCCATCAGAGGTTAGTCACCTACCTCTACCTCGGCATCAGTTCTGAGGCAGCATTGTCGGAGTTCTGTTCTTTGTGGGGGCTTAGGAAGGAGGAGAGAGCTATTTCCTCAGGGCACAGAACACTTCAGGACATCCACTTCAACCCTTTGCTGGTTGACAGCATACTACCTGGAAGAAAGAGGAGCTGGACCTTGAGCTAGTTAGGCCTGTTCTGAGGAGCCCATGTGACCATCTGCATGTGATGACACTGGCCATGATGGGGCTGACATCCCTCCCAACCTCAGCAGATAAGGCTGGGACTCCGTCCAAGGAGTCACAGCTGTGCTTGAAATCGGTCAGAGGTCTTTAGCTGCTGTTTGGCTCTCCTAAAGAACTCTGATGACAGTTCTGTTCCATTGAGCTTGTCGTGGGCCCCCTTGAGGTCCTCCAGAGTATGGAAAGAAAGCCAGGCCCGGACCCAGTGCGTCAAGAAACAAAGGCTGCCTGGAGAAAGCTGAGACACACTGGGGCTGAGATGGGCAGGAGCAGTTCTCCCATGGCTGATTACACCTCCCAGCACCTCCCTACACAGGCTGGTCTTTCTAGAAACTGGCCCCTTTATGCTTACCTCTTTGCCGCCCAAGCAGGCTCTGAAAGCCCCAGTCATCCCAGAAAACAGGCAGAACAATCCAGAGCTCCCTAGGAGCCATTTTCTGGTGGGCAGTTCTCTGGGAGCCTGCACTGCGAAGCTCTGTGCTCACCCAGGCCTCTTTCATGCCCCGGAGGACCAGAGAGCATTGTTTAGACCCTTAGCCCCTCCCCATCCCAATCCTGCTAGGGTACTCTTGCTCCTGCTGTAAGGACACACTGCCCAGGGAAGAGAGCCTCCATCTCACTGGCCTGAATCCTTTTGCTTTTCATTCTCACTGCCCTTTGTTCTGTCCTTTCCCTCTCTCGGATCCTGCCAGTACATGCCAAGGCCATCTTCCTTATTTCTTTCCTTAGGAACCCTTTCCAGTCACACCCTTCCCCAGCCATTAGTGACTGCTTCTTGGCCCCTATCATTATCGAGTCCTCTCTGGCCAGCTGGGTTGGGGTGTCCTGTGGGAGGAGTGAGGCAACGACTCTTTTATAGCTAATGCCTGCTCTGCTTAAAATTACATGGCTGTAGGTCAAAAGTCAGTATATGCAGTATTCCCTTAGATTTGCGAACCACTTCCTGTGTGCTGTTTTATTTAGTCCTTACAAGGATCCCTGTGAGGTTAGGGGAACAGGAACCACCCATCCTTTAACAGAGACTGAGAGAGCCAGAGAGGTGAAGAGAGAGACAGAGAGTGGAGCCAGAGAGGTGGAGTGGCCAGAGGCCGCTTGCGAGCTAAGAAGTAGAAGCCAGTCCTGCTCACAGCTGCTGTACAACACTAACGCTCACCTTCCCTTCCTGAAGACGAGGAACGGAGCATGGAGAAGCTAGGTGGCCTTAGGTCGGCTGCTTTCCATGGCTGGGCTGGGCTGACATGGCAGAAGGATGTCTGTGGAGGTAGCTGTCAAGCACAAGGGACAGCCCCTCCCTGAAGCTGGGGAAGGGACCTCCGTGTAGGGGTACCCAGAAAGGTGAGCACCCTTTAGGGAGCCAGCCACCTGTGGGTGAGCTGCGTTTTATCCTCCCCATCACCGTGAAGACCAAGATGGCACAGCCCTTCACTTCCCTATAGTTCTGTTCTCACCTCTGTCAAACAGGATTCGTATCTACTCCCAGCATTTAGAGAGCATCAAACAAAGTCAAGAATGCGGAAGTACCTGGCTGGTGGTACTTGCTACAGGGCTGAATGGGTACACGTCTGGTTCTGAGATAGGTCCTCACAACACACGCTCCCCCAGGCTAAGAACAGGTGGGCAGCAGGCCGCAGTACCAGACATGCTCTCCTCCTTGCCAATCACTGCTAAAGCTTCAGTCCCTCTCATCAGCACAATAAGGACTGTGCATCATCACCCGGTCTTTTTTTTTTTTAATTTTATTACTTCGTAGTGTGAAAGTACTATTCTGCCTACTTGTGTATCTGTGCACCATGTGTCTTGTGCTCTCAGAGGCCAGACGAGAGATTGGATTCCTTAGTACTGGAGTTACAGGTAGTGGTGAGCCTCCTCTGTGAAAATGTTAAGGATTAAACATTCTCTGGAAGAACAGCCAGTGCTCTTAGCTGCTGAGTCATTGCTCCAGACTCATGTGACCCAATCTTGATGAGTGCTGGCTGAGTCCACAGCAGCCTTTATGGGACTCTGTCTAGAAAACCCAAGTGAGTCAGAGAGATGCTGAGGCCAGCAGACCCCATCCCATGGCAGCTCAGAATCCTGTGTTTAACTGTGTCTCTGGGTGGAGCTGATTTAGCTTCATGTTATACCTCCCAGGTCAGATATCCTTGTTGTGATCCGGGTAGGACTATGACCTAGTGCCCTCTCATTGAGCCACCCGGCCTCTTGGACTGTAGCTTCCTGCTTGCAAAGTAAGACACGTATATGTCCTTCCCTAAAGCAGGGATTTGGAAGAGAGATAATGATTCTAAGGTGCTACAGCAAAGGTTGGCTGTCTGGCACCAAGCAGCAGGCAGTTATTTCTGAAGGGCTGGGAGCAAAGTCCCCTAAAGATACCAGCAGGTTTGAAGTGGCATCACCACCAGGGGAATGGCTCTACCCTGGTTGCTGTGGGGGTGGGGAGTCAGAAAGACCTGCCCTTGGGCTTCCTCTCAGTGTTGGTTGGATGGTGCAGTGAGTGAGGTCTTGACTTGAGGCAACCTGGTAGCTACTCAAAGGCTTCTATGGAGAATGGTGATGCTCCAGGCTCTTGCTCTTTTTGTGGATATAGTTATGCCCCAAGACTGCTCTCTTTGGTTCCCTAGAGTTGAAGAGGACCTGGACCAGATTCTGAACCTGGGATCTGAACCTAAACCGAAGCCCCAGACTAAGCCCAAGCCTCTAGTCCCAGCTAAGCCAGCATTGCCCAGGAAACCGACTGTGCCCCCCTCCGTGGGCCTGTCAGAAACCGGGGCTGGACCACAGAAGCAGCAACAGATACAAGCCATGGATGAAATGGACATCTTGCAGTACATCCGGGACCATGACACACTTGCCCAAGCCTCCCCCAGCCTCTTCTGACCCCACCTCCACCCCAGCCTATGCTGTGCCTGGGGAGGAGGCCTGTTTGTGAATGTGTGGGTCCTGGCTGCACGGCAAGGACCACCAGTGGAAGTGGAGGCCTGGACCCCAGTCCCAGTGCCATACCTTTTCCTTTTCTCCTGGGCTATGGGCTAGACAAGGACTCTCGGCAGAATGAACCAGGGGGAAGGAACCAGGCCAGATGGTCCCCACCCAGCTGGCTCTGAAAAGGAGGGTACCTGTGGGCTTCTTTTGCTCTGCAGGGGCCTGACCTCAAGGGGGGAGATCAGAGGACTTTGTCACCCAGAGGAAGGGACACCTGCATACTTGTACCCACTGGCTCTGCCAGTTCAGCAAAGGAAGGAGTGCTAACCCTGAGCCTAGGCTGGGTTAAAGAGGTACCTGTGACAGGCAGCTCTGGAGTCTCTACTTGGCCTGGCTGCTGGGACCCCATGGCATGTTCTGAGCAGAAAACCCAGTTATCCAGACATCCCTGACCCAAGTCCCTTCTGAGTCTCCTTTGGCTTCCAATGCTCAGAGGAAAACTTGGACCCAACCTTGCCTTTCTAGGGCATGCAGGTCTTCCAGGACCCCACGTCTTCCCAGCTTTTCCCTGGAAGCGACTGGTCAGCCGATGGCCCCTTTCATGCAGCTGTCAACAAAGTGGGTCTTAGTATTCCCCAGAGCTTGGCCCATGGAGTATGAGACTCTGAGGATTCTTTCCCAAGTCTTTGTCTGCCCTCAGGATCAGAACTTGCTCATTAGCTTTTCTCCAGTGGAGCCACCTGCCAGGGGAGAAGGAGCTGTGTACCAGGGCAATCCTGTGCCTTCTAGTAGATGGTGTTTCATGGAACAAAGGATGTTAGAGTGTATTCTTTGTGTCAGGAACTAGTTTGTTCTTGTTTTAATGAAATACCATTTTTTAACAAAATGCACCCATTTTGTTCCTTGGCTCAGTTGTGCTTCACAGAGGCATTAGAAGGGCCCAGTTGGGTCCTAGAGCCACTGCCAAGATTCCCCAAATGGCACAGTTCAACCGTTTGCTGCTGTCAGAGTGTGGGGTCCCCAGCTCTTTCTTGGAGTAAGACCTACAGGATCAGGCTGGGAGTAACAGGTCTGACCCATCTTGCATCTTACCACATCCCTTGTCAGGGGCCTAGTTCAGAGCAGGCCACCTGCCTACGCTGAATAAGAGTAAATAGGTGGTTCTAGGCAGAGGGCCAGAGCACTCCTCCGCTTGCCAGGTTGAGGGTCTCCTCAGAGCCTAGATAACTAGATAGCCCCTGCCCCAACGCTTTCCCTATCACTAGCAGGTCTCCATCCCCTGCATCTCTTGGTGCCTAGCACCTAGCCCAGTGCCCAGAAGCTCTCCCCATCCCCAAGCCCCTTCCTCACTCACTGCAAAGGAAGGTTCAGTAGGTGGGGAGAGGTCACATGGCCTAGACTTGTTGTACAAATGTGTTCATGGGCATCTTTGGACATTTCTCTCTGCATCCATTCCTCTGTGCCTTGCCTACCAGCTCTCTACCTCTCTTTCACACACACACACACACACACACACACACACACACACACACACACACCTTGCATCTGTTCCAGGTGATAGATGACATAGGAACTATGGGTGTATAAGGGCTTGAATGACCGTGGACCCATCCCCGGCTGAGGTCTCTAGCAAAACCCGACCCAGCACCTTCTAGTGTGGTTCTGCCCACAGTGGGGACTTGTCTGTGTGGAACTTTGGGGCACCCTGGCATGGGTGTTCGCCCCACAGGTAGTGATTTTGCAATCACGACTTGTTTTGATTACAGATCTATGACCTGTGGAGCCAGTCTTGTGTCTCCCAGCTCTCCAGTAAAGTCTGCGTACGACAAAGCCAGAATTCCAGTGTTGTTCTTTCCCATGCCTGGGCTGATGGGAGAAAAGTGGTGGTGGTGGTGGTGGTGTGTGTAGGGGATTGTCCTTTGTAACCAGGGAAGGTAGTCTATGTCTGCCCACTCTGCCCCCCTTCTCTCTCCTCTCTCTCTGTATCTGTCCTGTGTGTGTCTCTGACTCCCTCTACCCATCTCTGTCTCTGTATGTGGCCCTCTGTCTCTCTCTGCCTTTCTATTTCTGTCTGTCTCTCTCCCCTCTTGCTCCCTCCCCCCATCCTCTATAGTGGGGGTCTGGGATGGTCCTTTTTAACCAGGGAAGGTGCTCTCATGTCGTCTGACTCTGCCCCAGCCCTCCAGGCTGTCTCCTAGCTGGGGCCAGGAGAGAGGAAGGAATCTAGTCTTTCCCACTGTATAAAATGAGGCAGAGGGCCCTGAAGTCCAGGGGAGTCCCTGGCCAGCAATCTCTCAGGCAAGCCCCGTGTGGAAGGAAGACCCCCTTCTCCAGATCCTCTACTTGGGTACCAGGCATGGCTGGAATTGTCATGATTTCAGGCATGCCCTGCCTGATGAGCATTCACAGGCCTGACCTTGTACCCCAGCACTCTTTGTCGTAGGATCTGCAGCATACAGCCCTGGAGACTGCTGTCCACTGCAGAGCAAGCAGCTTCCCAGGGAGCAGTCCGAGCCACCCCTGAACATCTCTTCCCTCAGCACTTTGGTCTGAATCCTTGGTCAAGAGTGAATTGGAATCTAGGTCCCTGAGGAGGAACCATCCAGCTCTTTTGTTCTGAGGACTGACTCCTCAAGCCTGCAGCTCAAATATCTCCATGCAAGAGAAACTGAAGGTTGGATAGCAGCGTGTATTTGTTTTGAAGGCTATTATGGGCCCCGTGGGCAGGAAGTGTTGCCAGTGGCTGCATCCGCTGCTCCCTTCCTCCCATCATTGTTCTGCTTAGAACATCGTGAGCTTGGGACAGTTCTGGAAAGTCCCAGTTCTGGGGCTAATTCTGGCCAGGCTGGCAGCCTGCACACTGCCAGAGAGTGCCCACCTACCGAGTAAAGGGTCTGTTTCTGCATCTCTGCATTCCTGTGTGCTAAAGGATCTGCCCTGAGGCTAGAGCCCTTGCAGCAGAGGTTAACCTCAGCCAAGTCCCACTGCTCTTCAGGACCTGTGCTCTTCCTCCCCAGCTGTCACCTGGGCTTTGTGTCCACAAACCACTGTGGATTTAATTCCCAGTATCAAGCTGATGTGGAAGGCTGTGCTTAATCTAGCTCATTCACTGCCCCAGGCTGTATCTCCACACAGGCTGAGGGCTGCTCAGAGCAGACATGATACACAAAGCACCTCAGAGCACCCAAGCTCTCAGTGCCAGCCTTAGATGCCCCATGGATTGCAGACTGTTGTTCGGAGCCACCACTACCCCTAAGGACCTTTGACTGTACCCTAAGGACCTTTGAGGGGAAAGGTGGCCAGGGACAGGCAGAGAAGCAACACGAACAGCTGGCAATTCTCATGTGACTCACAGACCTTGGTGAGGTTGGGGCCATGGACATTTGCTGCTTTTCTAATGGACCTAAAGGATCAAAGTCCAGCACCTCTAACCCATGATGGTTGGGTTGCTCCCAGTTCCCTGTAACTCCAGATCCAAGGGACCTGTCACCCTCTTCCTGCCTCTGTGTGTACCTGTGCACGCCCATGCCATGTGTCATACTCAGAGACGTGCTCACAATAACATACTTTTTAAAGATTAACTCTCACAATTCTTAAATAGGATGCTATCCACTGTCTGAGTCTCACCTGTGCTTGAAGAAGCTTCAGGAGATGGTCATAGAGGGACTGTTGCCCAAGGCAAGCTGCCTACTAAGTAAGTGGCAGTGGTCAGGCGGGGTGGTCGGAGGCCTGGCCATTCACCTCAGTGAGCCTGTCCTCAGGACTGGCTACTGAATACAGGCTGGGCATTGTGCAGGGAGCAAACATAGTGAGTGTGCAAACATCGGTCCCTGCCCTGCTTGCTGACCCCTGGCTCTTGTTTCCATGGCTCTGGCCGCTGGTGAGGAGCTAGAGATTGCACTCCTCAGGTCATGCTTCAGATAAAGCTGCAGCCTCTAGCCCAGGGATGAAGGGCTCAGCAAATGCCTCAGTGGGTGGGCTTTCCCTCTGTTGATAACTTCCAGAGGCCTGATGCTTCTCTGCCAGCTCAGTATTATAGAACAGCCTCCAATTCTTTGAGTAAAGTGAATTAGATTCCTATAGCCAAGCTGGCCAGTCATGTCCAATTCCCCATCTCCAGACTGTTCAGTGAGTGCCTACTGTGTGCAGAACTACGTCCTGTGAACCACAGGACATTGGGTGTCCTAGGGAAACAGAAGAGAAGTCAGTAGAATAGAGGACCACATCGTGCCGGTGGCAATAGCCTAGGAAAGAGAGCATAAGCCATCGGGAACAAGACAGTGGTACAGAGCATACACAGTGTGAACAGAGGAGACAGAGGCAGCGGTATGCCTTGTAAAGCTCTGGATCTCAAAGGACACAAGAAAGAAGAGGCTGTATAGACAGTGAACATTCCTGTTGACCTACTATCTGCAGGGCCTGCTCCAGGCATGGAAATGGACCTGTGGATGGAAAATGAGTCATTAAAGTTGATCCTCCCAGAAGCCGTCTAGCTTCAGTTCTACTCTTTAGGCTCCTGCCCAAACATCAGACCCCACTAAAATGTTTTTTTCTCTCTGCCACTTGCCAGCACATACAGTTTGTTAGGTGCAACCTGGCCTCGATATTTGGCCCCTGCCTGGACGTCTGAGAGCCTACCTATCAAACAAAATCTCCCTTAACAGTTCTGGAAGTCAGATACATAATGCTCCAGTGTTCATAGTCTCCAAGGATCACTTCCCTATCTCTCCCTGGCTCCTGCAGACTGCTGAACAACCCTGGGAATGGCCCAGCTTACAGCTTCATCACTCTGGTCTCTGCCTCCAGCTTCATGGGACAGGTGCCCTGTGTGTGTCTGTGGTCTCTCCCACATCTCTGTGCCCTAATTCCCTTCTCTAAGACCTCTAGCCATGAGGCTGGTGTTGCTAATCTAGTATATAGTACACTTCATTCTCTCTTAATCACAGAAGCCTCAGTCAGATTCTTCGTAGATTTGAAACTTGGGGTGACCCTCTTCAACCCATTATATCCTTCTCCTGCCCTGAGCATTTGGCATCTACAAGTGGCCTCAGGCAGACCTCCGCCCCTCTTGCCCTGAAAAGCTGGGTTCTGGTACTGTGTCAGGTTCTGTGCTGAGCCCCTAGCTTGGCATCTGTTCTTCGTGCCTCCTGCCCGAATGATCTTCAGAGACTCATAAAGATGTCTCTGTGGTTGCTGGAGACAGCAGCATGCCTGCCTGCCTTCATACAGGGCAGCACAGGCCAGGGAAGACCTCTTCGGGGGCCTTACCTGCCGTCCAGAAAGAACTCAGTCCTTATGCAGCTCCGCAAGGCTCAGCCTTCCCAGGCAGCTGGCTCCAAGCATCCCTCCAGCCATCCACGACTCATCCCTTCACTCAGCCTCCGAGGAAGTCAGAAAGGGTTCTAAGGGAACCATGGAGGTTAAAGCCTAAGGCGTCCAGAGCATAAGGGCCATGTGCTACTCTCTCAGGACCACTCTGGTTTCCTGCCTCTGAAGAGCACGCGGGCTCCTAGCCTCTCCCCATGTTTGCGTCTCTTTTTGTTTTTTGTTTAATAGCCACTTCGATAACTTCCCCTTACAAGTGCTGTAGGTCCCAGAGGGCCATGATTTTAGATTAGAAAGTAGGACAACAGATTCCTTGTCCAGCAACCAAGGCTGTAGAGAAGCTGAGCAGACACCCAACAGCTCCTCACTTCCTGCCTCAGGCTGGTAGACGACTTCAGTGAACTTCTTTCTGGTTGTCTGGCTGGCCCAGGATTTGAACCTAGGCCTCCTGGACTGTGAAATCCCTAAAAAGGACAACCAGCCATTGGATGGAAAGGGAAGCTGTGGGGTGCTGTGAAGCACAGATGTGAATGAGAGGGCAGTCACATGTCATTTGATGTGTCATTTTATACCTGTCACCCGGCTTCCCTGAGTTGGTCTGCGGGGTTGGGTAATGGCATGTGTCCCTTGCCTTACTGTGGCTCAGAAACCTTGGGAAATGGCAGCACAGAACCATCTGACCCACTGAGGCCAGGGTCATGCTGTTTGGGTGTGGGCCATGGAGCGTGTGGGAAGAACATGCTGGAAGAAGCGTGTGTAAATGGAACACGCTGGAAAACAGCCATTCTGATGAGACTCACTAACAACAGCAGGGCGATGGGAGTGGCGACTTCATCCCAGCTCACCCTCCAAAGTAGACAAGGGAGTTTTCCCAGCACCATGGAGATGAGGAAATAAACACATCTTCCTCTCCCTCCCAGCCCCTGACCTTTTGTTCAGAGCCTCAGGCTGGTTGCCACTGGAAAAAAGCTTTCGGGACAGAGGCAGCTGCCTCCATGTTTTCCCCCTTCTCCCCCAAGATTCTCCTCCAGCCTTGCTCCCACTGGGTAGCAGAGCTAACATCCCATTTCTTTCCAGAGGCCACACACAAATACTTAGGCACGGATGTTCATGGCGGTACTATTTCCAGCAGTTTCCCGTCCACAGGAGACAACCCAAATAACCCACAGGTTAATGGGTGAATAAACTATGGTATATCCATATATGGTATAACACCATTCAGCATGGAGAGGAAGAGCTTCCAGTGACTATAGCAGAGTGGACCTCAATGACATGCTAAGTCAAAGAAGCCAGACCCACGATGCACTGTGGCTTTCTGGAAAGGGAACCTCTGTAGAGTGGGCAGAAAACAGATGGTATTGGTTGGGGAGCTGAGAAGCGGGGGAGAGAATCAACAGCGGCCATGAGGAAGCATTTACATTTCAGTGGAGGGAAATGGCCTAAATGTGAAGCATGCCTGTAAACATTCACCCCGATTCTCTAAGCTGCTCACTTTAAGTGGGGAGCTTTTAC